AGCGGGACCTTGGCCTCCACCATAATGCCCAGGACCTGGTGGTGGAGCTGGGGCATGTCCATGACCACCACTTCCGCTCCCACCTTGACCAGGTGGTCCGCCTTGCCCACCACCTCCCCCGGGAGGAGGAGGAGGGGGCGGTCCAGCTTGCGCGCGCTCATGCCGAATATTGCAGCGCGCACATCGCTCAAGGCCGTCACTTCCAAAGTAGCTGTGATTCTCACAGACGTGAGTCCCACAATCCGTGCAGAAATACATGGAGACCTCCTGAGCATTCTTGCGACATGCCCAGCATTTCATTTTCAAGAACTGACAATTGTAACAGTCCCCGTCGTCACCACGGCAAAGCCCGCAGAACTCACGACTGCATGTCACACACGAGAATTCAGCGTTCGGGTGCCTACGGTCGTTGGGATCATCGAGGGCACAAATCTTTGGCGCGTCTGGGCCATCGCCGCCGGGAGCCCCTCTTGCAGCCGGCGCTGAGGCCTGTCCACGATCCGACGGATCTCCAGCGGTCCCTCGCCTATCGCCGGGACTCTGGGTGTCGGCGCTGGCTCTACTCCCAGGAGTCCTCCACTCATCACCAGGACTCTGGATGTCGGCATGAACCCTATTACCCCCACCACCTCCTGAATGACGACCTGGGTTCGGAGAGACGTTCCCGCTATCGCGGATTGGCCTATCAAAACTCGGAGAGACGCTCCCGCTATCGCGGATCGGCCTCTCCCCCCTCGATTGTCGACTCCGGACCTCAGATCCCCTATCGGGGACGGCAGCAGGCCTCGGGCTCCTATTCCTACCCGCATCCCTATTGGGGGAAATAGAAACGTCCCCCCTTGCGCGCGCGCGGGGACCACCCCTTGCACGCTCCGGTGGCGAATGCGACCTGTCAGGCAACCCCCGAACCCTCCTGCTCCTGCTGTCGGACCTCTCCCTAACGGGATAGATGGGATGCCTGTCTGCGCGAGAAGGATCGACCCTATCGGGCACATTCGGCAAAACATGATCAGGCAAAACAACGCCTCCGCCTGGTCTCACCGGCAGGCCAGTACCCCGGCCGTCACCTTCCCCTGGTGTAGGCGTCGGTGACCTGATCCTATGTCCTTGCCCCGCAAATGCATGGTAACCAACATTCCGTCTTTCTCTGGGTTGTGGAGGAGCTTCATTAATCTGCTGGACACCCTGAATAATGCCAGCAGCCTCATCAAATTGACCCTCCATCTCAAAGAGCTGGGACATGATTCTGTTGTTCGCGGCGCTAAGGTTACGCACGTTGCCATCGATAGCGCTAACTCTCCGCATAACACCTTCAAGTGTACTCCGGAATGTGCCGAGTTCTCGCCTAACGGCAGGCTGCACTTGGTCACTGCTTGCAGGAAGATTACGGATCTGTCCTTGGATGCCATCAACGACCCGATTCACAATTGCCGATCTCGCTTCATACTGTTCAACATGTGACTTCACGGTCTCAAACCTTGAAATGATGTCGTCATGATCCCGACGTTGACGTTGAATTCCTCGAGCCAGATCCTGCATCTTCCGATTGATCTCGTCAATAGCCTCATGCCAGTCCTGCGGGGAATCATGTTCTGATGGTCTATCGACCTCCTGAGAACCCCTTCCACTCTGCAGTCTCGACACTCGATTAACAAGACGAGTGTGCTCTTCTTTGATCCCTTCAATAGATTCAGAGGCCCACTTGGCAAATGTCTCGTGTTCAAGGAGAGCTTTCTCGATCTTCAGGTTTAACTCCCTGAAATTTGCATCCACTACACTGCCGCTGGCCCTATCGGACGGATGCGCGACAGGATTCGGGTTCCATACACCTGCTGGTGTCCGCATCCCAACGGTTTTCTCTACCGAGAACATCCGTTTCTCAAGCTTGTCCAAATCCTTAAGGATCTCGTCCTCAGAAGCAGCATGGCTTCTGCGGGCAGCCTCACTATTCTCCTGAATCATCAGGCGAAGCCGATCAGTCGATGCCTCATTGTCCTTGACAGATTCATGGACCTCGTGGGACAGTAGGTTAATCCTCTGCTCCACGACCTCGGCTTGCTCATCAATGGCTTGCCTCACGATGGCCTTGCTATCGGGAATAACTTCCCTTGCGAACCGTTGAACTATCATTCGCATCCTCCCGGCATCAGATTGAGTCGCAACCTCAGCTGCCAGTCGATCGACCTTGTCCTTCGTCTGTTGATTCTCGTCGCTCCATTCCCTTCGCATGGAACTCACTTGACCGTTCAGTAACCTGATCTGGTCAGCAAAAATATGGAAAGCTTTCGCGACTGAGCCAGAAACCTCACCTCTCTCGAGCATCTCCTGGATGTGCAAATCGAACACCTCCTTTGCCCTAGCGTCACCTGATTCACCGGAAGAATGAGACCTGAGTGCTGGAGGAGTCGATATCTCGATCCTCTCAGGAGCCCCACTAGCTCTAGCATATCTTCTGGGGTCATCCACAGGACTATCACCAGCCCCAGATGGCCTGCTAGGGGTAGAACCCCTTCTACGGCTATCGCCGGAACGGGGATCAACATGGGACGCACGAGACTCGGGAGTAGAGTGGATGTGAACATCAGCAGGATCAGGCATCTCCTCATCCTGCGGAGTTGAGTCCATTGGTGAGGGGCTAGCCCTCCTCGCCTTCGACCTATCGGTCTCAATGGCCAGGGGTGACGGTCTCTTCGCAGAAGCACTACGTTCCCTGGCGGTCGAGCCCCATTGAGGTGTGAACTCGTTGCTGGACCTTAGCGTTTCAAGGTCACTGGTATCTCGCCCTAACGGGCTAGCGATCGACGGACGATCCTCGATTCCGAGTGCATCGGCAAGCCGGCCATCTCTTGCACCTCTCCCAACGACATCGGCAACCCGCTCAGTGACCCTCGGCGAACCAGTAACCCGGTTCGAGTTCACGTCTCTCTGATTTAACGGACCTCCAAACGTAATGTTGGGAAAAGGGGGAACATTCGGGGTATCACCAATCGCCGGGGGACCTACCGGTCCCTCACGGTCATGGATGGCCTCCAATCCCCGAAGAACTTCCCGACTGTCCCTGGCTCTCTCTCTCTCGCTTCGGGCATCCCTGTCAACGCGAAGGTCCCTGGCGGCTCCACGAGAGAGGCTCCTGGGCCTCGCAGCATCACGGATCCTAGCATTTCGTCGTGGTTGGTCCTCCTCCTCATCACGGCGATCCGCAAATGCGGCATACTCGTCATCATCGTCGACCTCAAACTTGGCAGCGGCGGGACTAGTCCTTGCAGTCGCACGGCTGCCTGCATTTCGGCGCGAATGGCTCTCCTCCTCATCCGCAAAATTGTAACCTTCGCCATCATAAGACTCAGATTTGGCAGTATTAGGGTTGGGCCTACCGGCATCAGATCCCTGCTTTGAGCTACTGCCCCAACCTGCGGTTGATTTCAACAGATCATCGTATCCGAAGTCTGAGAACTTCCGCTCCTCGTGCTCATCAAACTGACCTGGATTCTGAGAACCAGTGGATCGGCCCGGGATACCTCCCGGAACCAGAACCATAGTCCCTGGTCCCTGCGGCCTACTCTCAAACTCATCCGAGACCTGCGACTCACCTGGAACAAGAGATCTCGGAGGTCGAATCGGCATGGCCTCCGGGTCATCCGAATGAGGGCGGGCCATGTCCATCGCCATGCTGGTGAAGTCAAAATGTCCACGCCTGTGACCTGATTCAGAGCCACTCCTATCGGAGTAAACCCTTCGTGTCTGCTCGTCATCAGTGGCCTGGCGGAAAATACGATCGTCTCCATCGTCGGCGTACCTGCCACGGCCCCTGGGTGTATCCCTACCGGGATCTTCACCCCTGCGGTCCTGACCTGTCGAACCTGCTTCGAAATCCTCGTAGTCATAGTCCGGTAGGTCCTCACCTGAGCGGAGGCCACCTAGGATGGCCTCCTCATCCACGACGCTCCTTCGAGATCGTGGGGTCGACATAGAGCTTGTAGTTGATGGTCTCAAGCGCGTAGGAAAGTCCTACGGCTGATAACCTGTGATTCGGGCACGAGCCTGTGCCCAGGCAATGGGTAAGTTGGGGTAAACAAGCCACAAAAGAAAGGTTCCCCAAAAGCAAACCAATCCCCGGTCCCAAAGATCAGGGTTTCCCACACACCAGAGAACAACAACCAAAGGAAAACAAACCAAACAAGAAAAGGGTTAACCCGCAACCTTGGTCGACAACAGGCCGCACGACTGGTCCCTACCAACCTGGCGGCGGCCCGAGGTCTCTTTCTCCCCCGAGATGCCGTCGGTCGACGCAGGGGTTCGGCGACGCCCATTCGAGGCGCGACGGAACCCAAAACTTGAGCCAAAACACCACAGGTCGGTCACTAACGCGACGTCCCTGATGATGATATGAACCATGGCTAATCACATTTTCTTTAGAATTGCTTTCGCGACGCTTTCGCGGCGGACTGTCACACAGCATGCAGGCTTTCGCAGGTCTTTCGCGGCGGGACCTTCTTTGGTTACTTTCGCGATAAGTTTTCGCCAGCTTTCGCGGCCTGCGTTTTGGCTTTCGCGGGGATTCTATAGGACACCCCCCTTTACTACTTTGTATTGTCAGGGTTTATGGCGCTGCTCAGATCGAGAGAGAGTACCATGTATGTGTGCATCAAAGGACCCTACGTTTATTGGACCCTTTGAAGGCTTGCCACCAAGAAACCAGAATCGGCTCCATAAAGACAGAGTTGGGCCGCCTCTCCTTGCTTAAGCATGTTTAGAACCATCTTTGCTTGAACACCCTCCTTTGGGATTCCCTCTTGGTCTGGTGGCATTCTATATGTTTCTATGTCTGTTTCAAGACAGCCCTGCTCTTGACTGGACCCATGGCTTCATGAAACTGCACAGAAACTGCACAGAACCATAAAAACAAACACATACTCAAAGCCACGCCAGCGAAGCAAAGGCTTGGCAACAGGAAACCAGCCCGTTTTGGCTGCGCATGTGTCGACCGTTTTCGCCGGCGCCTGAAAGACGAGCGAAGTCTGTCTGAAGGGTTCGTGAGGAGCCTGGCTGCACGGAACAGCCAAAAGCCGACTCAGGCATAGGTCACTCTGACACCCCAGGCTGAAGGCGCTAAAGTAGGGCCTGGACAAGACTAAATAATGAATCTCCTCTGCAAAGGAACCATCATATCGTTCAGCTCGTTTATATCTACTGCGGATGGACGACACGCAAGAGCCGAGATGGGAAAAAAAGCTATGGAACAAACCATCTATCCACTGATGCGAAGTGGATTTCGTGAGAAAGGGTACCCCCCAAAAAGGGATGCACCCTCCGAATGGTCAGCTATGTTCATGACCGACGCCCTCTTGCCGCCAGGCAGCTGCTTTGAGAGGTAGGGGTACGCCTCAAACGCGGCGCCAAGGCATTCGCGAAAACGTGGCGCCAGCTGTGGGTGTCTCTTTAGGGGAGCTCCTCCAAGAAAACGGGGGGTTCCTTTTGGTTTCCTATTAAAACCTCTCCAAGAGGGTATAACCAAGGGTTATTGTCCTGACTACTCCATCATTTTGAAGGGGGGAGTCTTTTTACATCACAAACACTCATTTTCCCGCAATCAGTCCCACAATCATGGGGGCTGTGCAAAAGGAAGGCGTTCTCCATATGCCAAGCAATCCATAGTGGGAAGACAAACGTCACTACTGGCAGGACTACATCCATCCATCTGCACCCCCCTGAGTGCGCATCGTACAGAAGTTCCCTTGTATCAATTTGCAAGGGTCCCTGGTACGGCCATCCTTCAATATAACTTAGTTCGGGGCGGGGGAGTGAATATGTATCATCCAGCAACACGATCCTTTGACTGATGGTGAAATCAAAGCGACCCTAAAAGAAAAAGTTCACATCACTCCTTTAAGTGAAGCGGTCAGAACAAGTCCAGACTTGTCGTTTACCGCTCAAATGATCTTCCCCAAAAATGGGTAAAGTCCAGAAAGTAGCGAAGTGAGGAGAGGGTGTCATCCTCAACCATCATTGTTTGAAGGTAAACCCAGCCCCAAGAACAAGTGTGCGCAAAGCAATCTTGGTCTTTGATAACCACAAGCCAACCCCCCTTTCTTGAATCTTGATTTAGGGCTTCCCTTCGGGATGCTCTGGATTTCCTATGGGAAACAAGAATTGGCGCATTATCAAAAAAACAGTTGATCTTAAATAGGTGCTCAAACCAACACATGAGGCACCTGTTGCTTGGTCACCCCCGTTGTACCGCTGGATCACCCCCCACCCGGGGGCTTTTCGCCATATTTCTCCCACGCGTTTCCACGGGCGCCTCGTCGATGATGGCGAAGTCGGGATCCCCTACCTGAGCTGTGGGGCGCCTGGAAGATCAGTTTCCTCTTCAACTCAGCTGTTCAGCCGACCCTGGGAAAAAAGGGAACCCTTTTTGGGGAAGACCAGTTTTAGTGGGGCAGCCACCATTTGTTTTTTGGGAAAAGGGTGCCAATGAATGACTGAGTCAAGGAGCCTGGGCTATGTTACTTGGCCTAACAACTGCCAAGTAAACAAGTAACTGGGTCGTGATACACACAAACATCGGTGTTGTGTCAATCTTGTTTCTTACTTAGGGTAACCTGTTTGGGTCATCGCGACAAATGGAGCCAAATTGAAAACGAAAAGGTCAAAAGGTCGACTCGCTTAGGGCAAGTGAGCCACCAGGGCAATGCCTTCAAGCACGCCGATGGCCCTGATGATCAGCGCGAAGTAGGGCCTCACCGAGAGGAAACAAAAACACGAAAATGAGTGGTGGTTGTCCTTTCGGTTTCCCTTTCACCGCAAACAAGCTGTACCAAGTCCAAAAAACAGCGCGCCCCAATGGGGAGGGGATCGGCGCGGGGCATCAGTTTCTTGACCTGTTTGGACCCGACAGCCGGGCGACGCGGGACCCTTAGGTCCTAAATTGGCCTTCAGAGTCCATACTCTTAGGCACGGCCTTGCCTCTAGAGGAGAAAAAATGGCCAACCCTGAAGCATGTGTGGGCGTACCCTAACGTAGAGGGCCAGGAACAAGTGCCCATCAGTATACAAACCTGAGGATCCCCGAATCTGTTGGCCGTCATGTTCGCCAAGATAAGGAATCAATTAGGGGGACCCGTGTGTTTGTCCAAACAGGTGGTTGGAGCAGTATGTCACCATCCGGGAACCTCGTCATGGTCACAGGATTTCTAGATCAAACCTCTGGTCTCCCCAACATAGGTTGATTTCCAAAAAGGATCAAAAAGGCACACATACATTCACATAAATGACCCACGGAAACTAGGCGTTTGCCGCAAGAAAAACATGACCGACTTCTTTGCGCTCGAGCGGCGGGATCCTGAAGGGAAACTCGAACCTGGGCCGAGCGCATGCTGCTGGTTGGGCCGCGAGCAGGGATGGAATGCCCACATAAACCATCCCCTATTTTCCTTTCAGGGAATTCCCTTCCGGTTCATTCCCAACACCCGGAAGGTCATTCTCTACTGAGCATCGGCAAGGCTTTCTCATTTGGTTTAGGCATTCCCTAGAATTCTGCCAACGTTCACCCTGGTTGTTGCCAACCGTTGGACGTTTGGTTCTACAGGCTTGTAAAAAGTAAAATGACCTTACTATGGCTTGCGGCTTGCATGGAACATTGGAGGTGAGGAATATGGACTCGTCTCCAAAAATGGGTCATATAGGCAGGTTGCATCGTACACGAGAAATACCCTATGGGGTTAGTTGTGCAGTTCTAGGAACCCCCCGCCCCCACCAACAAGGATGGTGTCCCTTTGCAATCCTTGTGAAACACAACCGCTGATTCATGGATTGCCGGGTGGGCTCCGAAAACTACATCCAGGCGGCTTTCCGACAGTTGGAAAGATCAATCCAGTTGAACAGTTGCTTTTTCTATTGGAACCCCTGATGAAGTCGAAACCTGATGAAGTCGAAACTGAGAGATGGGGGGGTGGCCCCTTGTGAGAATCCTTCCCCGGAGGGAACACCCCCCGGTTGATAGGATGGGTTATGAATCCGGGGAAAGCAAGAACATGAACTGAAAACCAAAACACGCGAATCAAGACCTGGGAATACACTACCTCTAAATCCACACCAAAAAGGATACCTTGAATCGAGGTTGATTGTAGCGACGGATACCCCGATACAACAACGCCTGCATACTACGGGTTTTGAAGGGGCTCGAATGAAGCCCTGAGTCTTCGGTTCACCGAAAGTTTCCACCCACACCACTACCTCCCTGGGATACACCGCGGGCAAACATAAAGGCAACCAAACGGGGAAAGCCACCAAATCAACCAGTTTGGGGTGGGCCATCCTGCAACAAGGGTGTCAACCAAGATTCCTTTTGTATATAATAATAAGAGGGGCTTGGAGGTTTGTCCTATGGGTGTGTTGTTTCTTTTGGGGGCATTCCCTCAAAATCGTGTTTCTTCCTTCTGATTTCCCTTCAACATCAAAAAGAAACGGGGTTCCCTCAAACAAATCCTTCTGGCTTCCCTTTAACTGAACAACTGGCGTACGGTCTCAAAAGTTTTGGCCCCCCAAGTCAAAAAAGCTGGCGCCAGCCCATAGTTGGCCCCAACAGTGGCAACATCTCCGGGTGTTTTGTTGTTTTGTTTTTTTTGCTTTTTTTGTTTTTGTTTTTCCGATTCGGGGGGCGTGATCTGGGCCAAGTCCGCGGAGAGCTCGTTGAAGTTGATTCCCCGGGCACCCCCACCTGCATCGAGTCAATCGGCCGTTTGGATTTGCCCTACGTACCGAGCTCTGCGATCAAAACATTAATTCCTCCCAAGATATTTGGGAAAACTAGAGTACCTCTGTCTGGGCTGCTTTCTGAATCTGTGACCAAACCTGGCATGGTGGTGTTCTCAAAATAACCTGTGGCTCTAAACAACCATTTAGCTCGGAAAAGGTTTGATGACGTCTCACTAAATGGACCCTCTATGCCAGGTCTTCTGCTGTGGGAGGTGGTTGTTTGACAAAACCACTACGCACAACAAAAACAATGGGATGCGCAACCCTCATACAATGACACATGGGTGTGTCTGTTTTTTGGGGGAACCCCCTAAAATGGTGTTCCTCTAGGTTTCCCTTTAAAACCACCGAAAAAGGTACAGGTACCCTAAAAAGGGCAAATGGATATATACCTGATTTTCCGCAAATGGTCGTGGCGAAGTGTCCAGTCGGTCCTGATCAGATCAGGGAACGTACAAGGAAGATGGATGCACAACAAGGTAGAGATCCGGGCACTTTGGAAGGCTGGAGACTTCCCCCCGAAAAAACAGACACACCAAGGTGTCATTGTACGAGGGTTGTGCATCCCGTTGTTTTGTTGGGCGTAGTGAGGCGTAGTGGTTTTGCCACTAAACAACCCCCCACAGCCGAACATCTGGTATACATAGTGAGACGTCATCAGGCCAATGATGAACTTGTGGAAAGGAAGAACCATGTTCACTTTCGCTAAAGAGCCGCTGGACTCATCAGGATGAGTCGCCGACAGGGTCATAGACAAGAAAGACAGGTCGACCAATGAGCCAACACAAATCAACAAGCAGATCAAGGATGACAAGACAACACTTCAGGATCCACAAGCGACTCTCACAACGGAAGAACTGAAGATGCTCCACCTCCAGCATCATTGCATGACAAATCAAGTTCGATTTCGCACCAAAGCATTACATCTGCCAAAGGAGACATGCGACCTCCAAGATACGGACGCTTGATCGATCGGCCTGCCAAAGCAGCATCAAAGACCCGAGACAGCGCCGGCACGATGGGCTTCACATCGACTCCTCGGTTGCACGGCCTGCTTGTGGTTCCCATATGTGCACACCAACCAAGGGGGTTTGCATTCGGGGAAACCGACAAATGTTTGGCTTCCTTGTGGTTGGCTTCCTTGTGTTTCACTTCATACACCAACCCTCACAAAATTACACTTGAAGAAAAACCCACCACTGGTTAGCTTCCCTCTGACCTCCCGTCTAAAACGAACCCAGAAACGGCTTCAATTCCACTTCCGCACGCTCCAGACAGTCTGCGATAAACAAAAAAACAAGCAAAACCTCGACCAACCCAAACGAGGTTTACCACGGTCACCCTTCAACAAGCCTAAAATTAGGTTTAACATCAAAAGAAATCCAGACATCTGTGTGCCAAGCGTTGTTCATCCGTGTGGTTTCCCTTTAAGCCAACCTAAAATGCATACCCTCACAAAAAAAAAAAAAAAAAAAAAACGGTGTTGTGTTTTTCATAGGAATCCGACCCCCGATATGATGGTCTTCCTTCTGGCTTCCCCTCTACAAACCAACAAGCATGTGGTGCTCTCAAAAAGAGACACACTTTGGATTTGCTTCAGTCTCCAAAAAACATAAACAACATGTTCAGTATTGACAGACTCCCTTTAAGACCAAGACTTCAAGAAAGCATGCTCTTAAGCAACCCAGTGGATCCCATTTACAATAGTAGGTAGCCAGTCATGTTTTTTTAGTAGCCAGTCATGTTCCTTTGGGTCGTTAAAGGGTGGTTCATTCCCTTGGTTGCCTACAACATTCGGTAACTGGAATTCGGATTTGAAGGGTATGGTTGATCGCTGCAGCCAAGCTCCGTCTGGAATAAAATCCAACCTCTGGAAGTCGGTGCCTCGCGGACTCGTAGCTCGACCGGTGGGCTCGCAATCGGACCGATTCCGGAAGTGGCGGAATCAAAAGCTTTCCTTTTAGCTTCCTTTTAGCTTCCTTTTAGCTGTAAAGCCATAAACCAAAGGCACAGAAACAAAAGGCACACAGCCCTTTGCTTTAGGAAGCTCAAAAGTTGGAGTTGATTGGTAGGCAATTTCGGGGTGTTTTTAAATATGGGCAACACGAAAATCATCAGTTTCCTTTTGGCTTCCCTTTAAATCAACCCAAGAAAGGGTGCCCTCAAAAAAAGACGAGCCGCCCACTTGGAAAACTATTGATGTGATTGGCAATTTGCAAGCATGGTTGAGTGGGGTCATTGACCAGCCAGTGGAACCTTCGTAGGCTTCATTTTCATTCACCCGCCACCAACTTGAAATCCACCAGAGGTCCTTTCAAAGAACAACTGTCTTCCTCTTCCCAGCACCTTGTGTCAGAATCCATGAAGGAGGGGGAGCTAGTCAGCAAGGATATGCAAGAATCACCCGATATGGGTGCACCTCTAGAACTACATCACAAACAAAGAACATATGACATGAAGACATCACGGCTTCGGCAACGAAAGACACCTAGAGCATCTGACAACAAAGGTCAATGCAAAACCAGAATGAATGAAACATTGCCTGACTTTGATTGGGCGGGTGCCTGCCTCATAGGGGGATCAGGATTGAGGATCGCTTGAGGAGTCGTTTCCCCTACTTGGACACTTGAGCTATAACCCCCCAAAAAAGGTTATCCCGACATTCACGGGGACTCATGATGGAAAATCTAGGTCCCAGGTTACCACTACCACCAACCTTGGCAACAAACACCCATTCAATTGGACCTGAAAATACAACCTAGCGATCCATTCTCCCGTGCAGCAAGTAATTCACCAAGGGAACCACCCTCAAAAAAAAACACCAGGACAACTGCGTGCCTACTACAATGGCTTGCCTGGGATCCACTGAGCAAGGATGTGCTTTCGCATAAACCCCCTTGGAAAAAGCAATACTTTTCCGGTAGTGATAGATTCCCTTTAAAACCAATACGGGGTTTGCAAAAAAACATCAAACTATGATCATTTCAGTCAATTCGAGAGACACCGGCTACAAATGGAAGTCGTCACCTTTTGTCGCTAGATCAGGGAGGGAGTTGGGGCCAGTAGATATGGGTCATCTTTATCTCTAGGAATCGGACGACTTCCGAAAAATGAGAAAAACATGAAAGGAGTTAAGAAAGCCTCATTCTCTCATGTTTCTATTTTGGTTCGTCTGATCCCACAACCTCCCATGTTTCCTTTTGGTTTCCCTCCATTTGCCTCAAGTCCCCCGAAAAAAAAGAAGAAACAAAAAGAAAAAAAAGAGAGAAAAACAAGAAGAAGAAACAAAACGTTTCCAGTAGTGATAGATTCCCTTTGAAACCAACAGGGGAAAACAACAATCTTAACCAAATGGAAGTTTCCCCTTTCAACCAGCCCCAAAACGGAACCCTCCAAAACGACAGCCCCAAAAGGCACCGCCAACGGCCCGAGGTCCCGGCCGATCTCGGCGTAGTCTCGGTGCACCAGGTGAGAGATGGCCTCGACCATGCCGTAGCGCTGGTCATCCTAAGGATGGGGCCACTTTCTTGGGGGTGGCTGATGGACCTTTGGCCTCCGACGTGCGCCTTTTTTTGGAGCTCGACTTTCAAAGTTGGTTTTTGGGTGGCTGATGAACCGTATCTTTTTGCAGATCGACTTTGTGGTTGGATTTCAAAGTTGGCCTTGTTGGGAGTGGCTGCGTGGAAAGGACACTGTTTCGGGAGGACCGACAAAAAACACATTGGCCACTCCTAGATAGTGCAAGCGCGAAAAGAAGCAAAGCGGGCAGGTCTTCCTGACATAGCCCAGGATTAAGAAGGTGATGAGGTTGCTTCTGTGATATCAGGGAGCCGGCTTACCCCCTTTCAAAGTGGGGAAAATTGGCATTGGGATGGATGCTTTCCAAGTGGTATCACAGAACGAGAGGGTCATCTTGATTCAGCTGCGGAGGGAATCCAAGTCAACCGAAGGGCACAGTTGGATTCTAGCCATTGAAGGTGTTCTGAAAAGTGTATCAAGTGGGATGCTCCCGCTGAAGAGGAGACCAGCAAGTCGGCCACTCGGAGAGCATTCGGAACGGACAAAAATACCGACGTGTCCGTTTGGACAAATAGATGGCACTATATACGACTAGAATCAAACTGGAACCATTGCCATCCACCCACTAGACCTTCAAATGGATAGGCATGGCAAAAAAACACCTACCCCAAATGGGAAGCGGAATTCTAATGAATGGAATCAACCCAACTCACCCAAATTCGACCGCCGTCCGCTGGGACCGAAATACCCGCCAAGGCTCCGTGATGCGGGTCATCAACCCAAAGTCTAGGATCGCCAGCCTGGCATCTCAGTGCAAGCAAATCACATGGATGTGAATTTCAATATTGGACCTTTTATTGCTGGTGCTGAGTAGGGAATGAGGCAATGAACCCAGGGGTGCAAGCCACAAGGTGTTTGTTTCTTTTTTTTATATATCTTTAAATGTATAAGGGCCATTCCCTCATTCTTTGCTAAGCACCAGCAACTCTTTGGGCATCAGAATCCGGGGCAGATTGAAAGGTTGGTGGTTCCCTCTAAAAACTGACAAATTCACATGATATGTCTCCGAAGGGGACCGATTCCCAAGCTAAACTTGGTTTCCCTTTCAGCCTACCCCAAAACGGGACCTGAGCCTCAAAAAAACGGCTGAGGCACCCCAGCCATCAATCCCTGGCAGCTCCAAAAGGGCAACCCGATCGATCCATCTCCGAGCCTCCCATCCGGCGTGCGCAGCATGTTGCCGGGGTGAGGGTCTGCGTGAAAGAGGCCCTAGCAAAGCGGTCAGTCGGTGTCTCTTCTGCGTGTTTATTTGCTTGTTTCTGTGTTCGTGTGTTTGCTTGCTTGATTGCTTGCTTGCTTGTCTCTGTGATGTCTGTCTGTTCTTGAGGGTTCCTGGTTCAGCTTGGATTGAAGGGAAACCCAAAGGACGCCCACCATTTGAGGGTCATACCCAAAATGTCCCCCTCAAACACCAGCGCACCATAGCGCACCAAAGGGAAAGTCATCAAATCGCATTTTTGGACCTGTGCAAGGCGGCGCAACAGCCCGCACCGTACTAACGTTCCATCTTTTCAGCAAACCAAAGTAGACTTCCCCCAGTGATGGTCGTCTCAATATAGGACCCTCACAATTGTTGATCACCACCTGAAAAGGGTACCCAAACAAAACACAAGCGTACAGTTCCTATGGTAAATCAACAACCCCTGGGTTTGAGACATTTGCTCAAATGCGGAACCAGCCAATATCGTTGCTGGGTTTTTCTCAAAGACCTCTCAAGAGATGCTCACATGTCCCTCAGTTGGGGGGGACCTTTTGTCATGGTTCGAGCAGGGTTGCTCCCCTTGGCTCCGGCTGGTTGGCTTCAAAAAATGAAAAACACGCCCCTCTCTCACAAGTTGAACATGGGGAAGCCCTCTTCAAGAAACCCCCAAATCGATGTCATTGCTTTCACTGGGTCTCGTGTTGTTTTTGTTTCGAAGATTGCCGCCTTGTCCAGCAGCTGAGTGAGGTAAGCAACGACACCCACCTGAGCGCATCGCCGAGCATTCCGCTGGTCAGCCTATGACGGGAGAACTGTCAGCCTTTGAGGTGAGCCAAAAAAGGAGATCCCTCTGCTACCTCAGCTATGGACACCAACTAAGATGACATGCTTAGATGCAGGCTTATATTTGCTGAAGCTTGCAATGACCCCAGCTAGAAATCACAACCATAATCCGCATGACTACTTTTGACTTTTGCGAAGAAGTAGACAATGGTCATGTTTGGTGAATCTTGAAAATCAAATTGATGCGAGCATGCCCGAAAACCGTTGACGTTACGTTCGCCTTGCTATGGCCACAACAAAACCTGACAGCAGAACCACCTACTAAAATTGCCAACGGGAATTTAGGTGGCCACACATGAGACTCTTGCGAGATCCCCTCATTGATTTTACGTGTGGTCCCCAGCAAAAATCACCATGGTTTCACTAATCTGCCGTGTTGGCGGTTTTCTGCCCTACAGAAAGCTGAAGAATGGGTAGTGTAACTAAGAAGCGGCCCTTTCAAGTCTGTGGAAGGAACGGCGCCATTAAGATCGTGATTTCACCAACCTGAAAGAAACTCTATAGTGACCTTCAGCTCGTTTCCAGCTCGTTTTACCAGGTCTCGCTGAAATGTCTGTCCCTGCTCCAGGAAAACAGATCGGCGCGAAGGATAACAAGTGCCCCAGGTGAAGGGATTGCGTCTTCACGGCGGCCAAGCAGTCCAATCTTTGTTTTTTAATGTGCGGCGGTCACAACACATTCTGGTACGCGTGTCACTCTTCAATCCCTCCCGGTCGTTACTACACGCTAGTCCGCAGCTCCGCAGGCTCGAAGATTGCAACTTTGTAGTACCAGCGTGGTATAGTATAATGTTAACCGCGGATTAATAAACCCCTGGTTGATTAATAGGGGGTCCACTTTTAGTGGGGATTCAGACCACTTTTGGAGGGAACACCCTCCTAATAATGGGAAATGGGACGAGTTTATTAATCCTGGATCAACTTTACAAGCACACTTCTGCAGCTCCTGGCTCCCCTAAAGAGACACACCCAAGTGCCTGCATCGGCTTTTTGGGCGCCAGTGCACCCCGCCCCCAACCCGCCCTCCCCCCCTCGCATCCCCTGGGCGGGCGGCGTTGACCAACTGGCGCACGTCGCCAGCCTGGTGCTGAGCAGTTCTCCGCCAAACTGCCCGGCTCTGAGTTCAACTGGGGCAACATACTGGATGGACGAAATTCTGCACCACTTTGAATCCATGGGAAACCAGCGTTTGTTGGTATTTGCAGGGGAATCATCAGAAACCAGGGTTTCTTAGGTTGTGCAGGATTTCGTCCATCCACAATAGCTCTGTTTTTGAGGGTACCTGGATCCCCAGTTGCGCTCGCTTTTTGCCCCTGCAACAGTGACTGGACGGCTTCTGGGGTAGCAGCAACTTCGCGGTCCAGGTCCTCTTTTGTTCTTTGTTTGTTTGTTTTCGCTTTTTCTTTGTGTGGGGGTGGTTAGGGGAAAAGGGAAAACCACAAGTAAAACACAATTTTGAAGGTGTCAAGATCAAATGGAGGACATCCACAAGCCTTGAAAGACGGGTTGGCAGCTAACGTAAAGGGCAATACTGCTAGGTCCTCCAGAGGTTCGAATAAGTTGGTACCATTTTTTTTCTGTAGTCTCTGTCTGAAAATTCCACAAAAACTCGCACAGGCGATTGCCAGGACCTCTGCTTGAGGTCCGAATGGATGCGGCACGTGCCGATCCATCCGCGTGACAAGCCACTTCATCCAGGTCAATATCAAGGCCACCGACCTTTCTTGGGGATCCAAATGCTATGCAGTCTACTGGAACCTCACTTCTTTCTGCCACTCAAATACAGGCCCTTACAAAGGAAGCCTGAAGGGATAAGCATGACCGGACAAACATTTGGTAGGATCAGGAAGCCATCCAAAGCCCGGTGTTATTTTAAGCTCATCCATTCCAATTAGCTAGTTGGCGCGTACATGCACGTACTATGTTCAATCTTTAAAGGAACCCTCCAAAACAAACACCTTCAAACACCCTGTAAACATCTTTTTCAGATCGACTCAGGCTTCGAGTTTAGCTGTCAAGTGATCCTGGAAGACGCGAAGTGTTTGGCATTTTCTGCCAGCTGAAAAATGTTGCTTTGTTTGTTGGGTGCTTCGTGGTTTGCTTGTTTGCACACGCAACAAACCCGGACGCCAACCCCCTGGCAAGTCGGGTATTTGTGCTTCGAACAGCATCTTTGGGGAGACCTTTGGTGAACCTTTGTGCCAACCATTGAGGTGCTCGAGCCATAGACTCCGGACCGCTTGCAGTGACCAGCTGGGCTGTTGCGAGAAGGCAACGCACTGCCACGAGCGGGTGTGAAAATTTTGACGGGTCCCGGGACCAAAGCTTTGGTGAACAGCAACATTCGGTGGGGATTCATGTCCACTGAACACCTTTGAGGTGTGTTTCCCTAGAACTCCATAGCCATGCCTTGGCTTTAACAGGACCTGTGCACAAGGCCGTCCTTCCAGAAGTACTTCCATGCACTGCCAATTCGCGTGTGGGACAAATACAGGTACTCTAAATGGAACCCTAGTAAATGGCAACACTGACTAAAACTTGAGGTCTGACGAATTTTGACCAATACTAATTCTACTGCCAGGTGCTCAAAGGCACGGCTTAGCGATGGACAGCCAACGCGCCTGGGATTGCGACAGCTTCTCTCCTTCCACCCACTCCGCCACATGGACCTGCCGTGACAAACAGCGCGCAAAGAAGGGGTTCTTCGGTCGGTCCGTTTTCTGATCCCCTGCAAAAAGTGAATAACTTTTAGTGGGTTTAGTGGAAACCCAGGCACTAACTGAAAACAACTAAAAAGCTAAGGAACCGGACGGCTGGGAACCGCCAAGTTTGAGTGGTTGCAGTCAACATTTTTCCAGGTCCAAAGGAAACAAGCCACTTTGACCATGGCTCAAGCATTTTGAACACGGGTCCCGTAGAATCGATAAGCTTTTTTATAGGTTCCTACCAAATTTGTTTTATGTCTTGAAGGCGCTACAGTTTCAGGGATTCTGAGACATTCTCAGAATTACTTTTGGGGGCTGCTTCCAATATTCAAAGGGTATCGTTGAGGATGTCGTTGTTCGTGGACTCAAAGTAAGCGCCCCGCATCCCCAGCCGGGAGTGAAACGAGAGGGCTCATCAAACTTGTTAGCTGAATTTGAACGCTCAGAGTTGTGGTTGTTACTAGGTCCTCCAGTAGAGATGTTAGAATAAGGGTATGCTTGTCTCTGTTGTCTCTTTTAGTAGGGGAACCCTCCCCCAAAAAAGGGGGCACTACTGGGGGACCTGGAAATTTACAGCCCAGCCTTAGAAGCTCCAATTTGGGAAATGGCGATTGACATCCTCCAAAAGTCATCCTTGCTTGAACGACCTTGCTCGAGAAGAAAGATAGGTGGGCAAAAACATGAGTCAACAAAAATAATTAATGCCTGAGCGATCAACATCGTGAAAGGCTAGTACTTTGAATCTCTACCTATGCAAGAATTAGCCGAAGGAGCATGCAAACAAACGCCCGTCATGGCAAAATGGGAAATCGAAGCCCATCGAACCAGCATGTTAGTGGACCCCCTGGCTACAAAAGCCAAATGAGCCACAGTCAGTACTCCAATGACATGGGATTGCCCTCGTAATCTCCATTTTTCTACTGCAACTTTACGAGTGAATCCGATGTCATTTGATTCACAGTTGATGACAGTGAACTTCCATTTGCTTATGCTCCTGGATCAAATGAACATATCTCCAGCAGTGATAGATTCCAATTTCAAAACCAACAAGGGAAAATCAAACATAGTCTTTAAGCAAACGGACGTGAATGATGAGGGTTGCTCATATTCTGGTAAGTGGACGCACATTCTCAGACCCTTTCGCGCTTGGAGTCCGGAGGATCTTCGGCAAGACAAGACCCTCTGCCAAACCAGTCTCAGAGGAAAATTCGGCACAAGGGTTTTGGAAAATTCCTTGGACTTTGTTGGAGATCCCAAACCCAGATCGACATGAAAGCCTGGCTCAAGTGTCCACATTCAGTCAGAACACCTGCTACTAAAAGGATCTACACACACACAAATAACGTTGAATCACGAATACCGGCACCTACTTCTGGCCCGGACCACGAATTTTCACCGATTCACTTCTCCGCTCCCACTCGGAAAGCCGAACCCGTTTCCGGTTTGGTTTGGAGGGCTCAATTGCGCCTCCCTGCAACCACCCTCCAAAAAGGGTTCCAGCCCCAAAAAGGACACACCCACTTGGCCTGACTCAACTCAGCGCACACCACAATAGGGCTTCCTGATTTACTTTCATATTCAGTCAGCCTTACAACGCAACAGCGGTTTTCGGTTTCGCTCTCGCCTTGCGGCAGCAGTACTGCTCGAAATTCTTCGGGATCTTGACCTGAGCTACAGGCCCAACCTGGTCGACAAATCACGCTGATACCAAAGCGGGAGTCTCATCTGCAAGACTAACTTGTCAGTTTCAGGGAAACGAGGCCACTCACCGAAACTGGAACCCAAATCTCCACACGGCTAAAGCCACAATCTCAAGCTGTTCAAGACTGGGTAGGTCTGAAAGAAACTTGCAATCACCAGCATCTCCCAACTGCCTTCTTCAACCATGTCCAAAATCCTACTGTCCAAAAAGCATTGGTTGGGGGGGGGGGGCTGATATCCGTCCCCTGTTGCCTTCCTTAAAAAAAACAACATGCTTGTGGCTGGAACTTGTTGGATTCCGAAAACGTGGACGCTTCAGCAAAGAAGCAAAGCGGCCAGGCGAATTGCGGCTGTTTTGATCAAACGAAGATCCCGCAGGCTTCGCTCAAGATGCAACTTGGCTCGACATGGTCGGTTTCCTGTTGACGTATGGACCTTCAAGGGCTTGTTGGGGGGATGGGGTTCCCCCCTCCCAACAAACAGAGAAAGAAACAAATGCCTGCTAAGGTCATGGTTTAAACATAGTCCTGTAACCTGTGCTGTCCAACCCCCGGCTCCTCCCCCCCCCCGGCCCGCCATCAATACCAACCCGACCCAAAGGGCCCTGTTTGGACACCCCCCCACCCGCTGCAAGCCTAAAAGCCTAGAGGCCTAGTAGGAAAGTAGTTGAGTCGAAAAACCGGTCCCCATCCGATACCTTGAAGCAAAGCGGCCCGGTCCAGGTGGGACATGTGCTCTTCCACCAGCAGTCCGTTGGCACATTCCTCAGGATGAGGGCGGCTCGTCTTGTTTTAGGAGAGACAGAGAGAGAGAGAGAGAGAGAGATAAAGAGAGAGGGAGAGAGATTGAAGCGAAATACAGAGAAAGGAGCGAGGGGAAGAGAGAGAAAGAGAGAAAGAGAGAAAGAGAGAAAGAGAGAAAGAGAGAAAGAGAAAGAAAAAAAAAGAGAAGGCGCGTTTCCGCGCCTACTTTACCTCCACCAGCTTGCGCTCGGAGAGTCTGGCAACTCCGAAGAGGGTCCAGAGCCGTGGTTCACGCGACCACGGTTGGGAACACGCAAGAGAAAACGCTCCGAGGGGAGTGAAACGGACCAGAGGTCCAGCAATCGCTTGGCGATAACCAGTACGGGCCGAGGGTCTAGCGAAAAGCCGGTGTTGAGGCATGACCACCGGACGGCGAGCGCGCAGGACAATCAGGGGCGCGCTGCTGGCCTACCGGACGGGCCCGGACCAGGACGTTTTCACAAGTAACCAGATCACCTCGGCGCTGGTGGCGTATCGCTCAGCTGCCGACCAGGACACGGCAACGGCCTCAAGCATCGCCGCCGCCCTGCTCAGCTACTACACCATCGCGCAGGTGGACGGTTTGCTGACCGGCAAGCTTGAAGTCACGGAGCAGCTTCGGCCCTGGAGATAGCAGTGCGCTTCCCGGACGACGGAGGGAGCCGCCGGCCTCGGGTCTGCATCCGGCACAGGGTCGACCACCAAAGGGCGGCTGCCGCCGGGGGCACTGCAGGCCGCGGGTCAGGCGGGAGCGCCGCAGGCGGCGGGCCAGGCGGGCCTTGACCAAGCTCAGCGCGAAAGTGATCCGCCAACCGCTCAATCTGCCCTGCCCGGCGCAGGCCGAGGGTTTCAACCAGCAGCGCCTCCTGCGCAGCAGCTGGTATGTAGAAACCCTGCCGTGAGTCGGCCAAACACTCAAAGGGATGTTCGCCTGGCGCGCCGCGTGTGCAAGGAGGCGGTCCTGCGCCACTGTTTCTTGCGGGCAAGCGCCTTCATAGAAGGGTTACCTTGCAATTAGGAGGGCTTGCGGGCAGCGTGCAAGAACGCAGGGGCTGCGAGGAGGCAAGGTGGCAAAGACTTGAAGGATGAGGGACCTAACATGCTGTTGAAAGCCAAGCTTTTGGTGCCGCCGGTTTCATTTCGGGCGTTGCTGAAACAAGAAGCACGCCCAGAGGTGCGCCAAGACCAAGCGGAGAGCCGCGGGAGACATGCTGAGGCGAGTTGCCAGTGACTGGTAGCGCGACGAGCTGGCGTGGGGAAAGATCGTTCTCTGCAAAGCCTGCGCTCAACACTGCGTGGCGCTTGCTTTGTTTCTCAAGGAATACGCGAGCCTTTCTCCAACGGAAGGACAGCTGGCAGGGCCTCGCGCGTCTCGTTTGTCGCAGGGCGACCGAGCACCTATTGTCTTGGAAGGTTAATCTTCCAGCGCGGGCGCTGTTGAGGGGCAAGCTTCTCTCCGTGTTACAGGCAGCGGCGTTTCGAGCTTTGCTAGTACAGGTCGAGACCTCGCAGAGTATTGGGAGCAGAACGAGCAGTCTGCGGGGCGACTGCCAGCAAGACGCGAGTGGCAATCGTCGTGCAGTGACAAGCGGTATGACATCTGACTTGTGGGGCGCCTGGGCAGGAGCAGAAGTTCTCACTGCTGGTTGAAGGGGTGCGGAGGCTACTATACTCTGCGGTTGCGCAAATGTGCGCACGCCGAGTTTCACCCTGCAGCAGCACCGCGCGTCGAGCAAAATGTCGCTTTGTGCTTCCGCAGCTTGCCCAACACTTAAGGGTCCACCCCCAAGAAACTTCACTGGTTCTTCTTCAGAAACTCCAGAGTCTCAGGCCTTCCCAAGAAACTTCACCACTTTTTTGGTGAGACCCCCTCCAAAAGGTGCCCAGTGCTTCCAGTTACCCCTAGGTAACCAGGGGAAACCATGATGTATAACCTAGAGCTGGCCAGGCATGGGCCACCTATGGTCACTGGAAGCACTTGTATCTGTTTTTTGAGCCGTGTGTTTCCTAAATGTCTGAAGTGACAAGGCCACACCTAAGCTTACAGGATTCCTTACATGTGGGGAATAAGAAATATGAAAACGGCATGGGGCTGGTTGCCACAACAGTAGATGCGAAACATTTGATCCTCAGACTGAGAGCTGACTAGCCTCCTGGAGCCATTTTTGAAGGTCATGGCACTCAATTGGCCTGAATGGCCCTGGTAGCCACTAATGCTCCCGTTGCTGTGGCTGTTCGTATAAGGTGGCCGTCTCCTTTCTTTAGATGCGCTTATTTGCTGTTCCAAGTGGGTTTACACTATACCCCCCAAAAAAAGAAGAAGACCCCCAACGAAAAATGAAGTATACATCCTTCATGCATATGCTATATAGTGTCTGTAGAACCCATTTGTCCCCTAAGGGGCTCTAAGATCTGAGTCTTTGTTTCAAGCATGTTAACCTCTGACCAATTGACTTGGAACCTGATATTCAGGGGGTCCTGGTTTGGATTTGATTCCTTTTAAAGGGACCCAAGTAAGGTTTCACGTTAATTGGTGGGAGGGCAAGTATGACATCAGTGGATTGAATGATTCATCCCAGCGCTTTTCCAACCCATTGAGATACAGGGCAACTCATCCACACTGAACGAACTGTTTGGCAGCCTACCCTTAAGCACCTGTAGAACCGCCAAAGCAACCCTTCCCGAATTCAGGAAGCACAATTGATACTGATAAGGAAGATGTCCCACCCAAACGTAAAAATAATATGACCCTCTCTGTCGGATCATCCTTGCTTGAACACCTGTGTGAAGCCTGGTAGGGGTCGGGGCGCCCTTTGTCTACACATGCAGTGTCAATCTTACCAAACTGGAAAACCATTACACGTTTTCCAACTCCACCATGAATAACGAAGTATGGCAACCAAGCACCACTTTCCTTCCCACGCACAGCTCACTTCGGGTGGTCGAGAAATGGGACCCGCACGCCAAGGTCCAATCAGGTTGGGGGGTTATGAAGAAACTCCAGAGACGTACCCAAAAAGGGTTCACGAACTTTCAGGTACCGACCCCTGTTGGAGATTTTCTGCGGGTGGGAGGTCCCCTGATTTTTGGTCGGAGTTCAGCCCAAAGCCCCCCGATTTTTTAGTGTCTTCCTCCAGTCCCCGGGTTAACACACTCCAAGCTGCAGCATGGATTTGGGAAGCTAACCTTCAGGTACATTTGGCGTGTCTTGCTGTAATCGGACCCTCAAAATGGTGTAGGCCCTCCTCTTAGTTTCCCTTGAAACCAACCCCAAAAAGGGTACCCTGGAAAAAAGACATGCCCAGTTGATTTGCTGGCAGTCGTTGAAACCCATCCGCCTTGTTGTAATCTAGCTCCTCGTAGATGCGAGAGGCAAACTCCTTGGCTGTCAGGCCCAAAAAGTGCTGAAAGCGAAACCTTGCAGTTCTCATTGCGGTTGGTCATCAAAAGAAACCATCTGCAAATTGTAGATGTAGAGATACCCGGTTTCCTATAATGTGGAAGCGCGCGGTTTATCGAGCTGCCGGGGACAAGATTAGAAGCAGAATCCCTTTCCAGCACGCGCCAACTGCTTCTGCAACCATGCCCAAACCACCAATGTCCAAAAGTAGTGATCGGGGAAATGCTGGGTTAGGTTTCCTTGTGGGAAAGCGGAACAACTTGTGGGTCCTATTTAGCAGGTCCATGTAACCGGATTTAAGTGGAACTTTGCAGCTGGATAGGGCTGCAACTCCCAACTTATAAGTGGGTTATAACCTATAGGTGACCAACAACTTACTAACTTGGCCGGACACCCATGTAGGGTGCTGTCTTCCCTAAAGACATGCAGACGAGGCATGATGATTTAAACACAAAAAGTGGACTCATAACCGATCTCAATCAATTTTCAGACAATCTCCATTGGTTGCCCAGAAACTGTGTCAAGTTGATCACAAACAACGACAACAACGACATCGACAACGACAACGACAACGACAACGACAACAACAACAAGAACAACACCAACAAGAACAAGAACAAGAAAAAGAACAAGAACAAGAACAAGAACAAGAACAAGAACAAGAACAACAACAACAACAACAACAACAACAACAACGACAACGACAACGACAACGACAACGACAACCACAACCACAACAACAACAACAACAACGACAACAACAACAACAACAACAACAACAACAACAACAACAACAACAACAACAACAGAAACAGCAACAGCAACAGCAACAGCAACAGCAACAGCAACAACAATAAGAGCAATAACAAAAATAACAAGAACAAGAACAAGAACAATAAGAAGAAGAAGAAGACGAACAACAACAACAACAACAACAACAACAACAACAACAACAACAACAACAACAACAACAACAACCAACAACAACAACAACAACAACAACAACAACAACAACAACAACAACAACAACAACAACAACAACAACAACAACAACAACGACAACACAACAACAACAACAACAACAACAACAACAACAACAACAACAACAACAACAACAACAACAGCAACATCAACAACAATAAGAGCAATAACAATAATAACAAGAACAAGAACAAGAACAATAAGAAGAAGAAGAAGACGAACAACAACAACAACAACAACAACAACAACAACAACAACAACAACAACAACAACAACAACGACGACAACAACGACAACCACGACAACCACGACAACCACGACCACAACCACAACCACAACCACAACCACCACAACAACCACAACAACAACCACAACAACCACCACAACCACAACCACCACAACAACCACAACAACCACAACAACCACCACAACCACAACAACCACCACAACCACCACAACCACCACAACCACCACAAGCACCACAAGCACCACAACCACAACAACAACAACAACAACAACAACAACAACCACAACCACAACCACAACCACAACCACAACCACAACCACGGCCACGGCCACGGCCACGGCCACGGCCACGGCCACGGCCACGGCCACGGCCACGGCCACGGCCACGGCCACGGCCACAACCACAACCACAACCACAACCACAACCACAACCACAACAACAACAACAACAACAACAACAACAACAACAACAACAACAACAACATTAACAACCACAACCACAACCACAACAACAACAACAACAACAACAACAACAACAACAACAACAACAACAACAACAACAACGACAACGACAACCACAACAGAAACCACAATCAGCAACCAATCTCCCATTCAGCACATGAAAGGAATTATAAAGAGGTTTGAAGGTCGCAGGAACGTCGAGACTCGTCGAGCAAGCCCACGAAGTCTGTGCGCCGGCTGTCCCTCAGCCCTACATCCTGCAGCCAGGCGGTGAACCTCAGATCCGTGGCCAAAAGACCTGACCGACCAAAACAAGCCGCAGGTATCGCCCTCAACCCGGGCATTTTGTGGGGGAACAAACACACCCAGAAACAAGAACTGCAAGGCTTTCAGCGTCAGAAACGAGATGTTCTCTCTTTCGCCCCAAGCATGGGACAAAAGGCACCCTTCTCTTGATTGTTGAGGTCCATTCAATGTAAAATGTGTGCCCAAATTAACTGCTCAGAAACCCTCAAAATGCGTGCTCTCTTTGTGGCTCTTCCATTGGCCCAGTCTATCTTTCTCTTGATCAAGAAACGTCTGACGCCCAGGTTCGATACACTTTGTGGGAACTGGAGACCCATGTCCACTCAGAAACCCACCATTCTGAGGAATCTCCTTTTGGGGGTACTCCTTTTTGGTTTCCATGTTGATTCCATGTTGACTCCACTTTGGGGATTCCATGTTGATTCGTAGGGAAGTCTGCTGTGTCACCTCCTTCTGAGGGTTCCCCGTTCCCCTCGCGGGTCCGAGATATAATCACCGAAATCTAGGGCAGTGCCTCGCCAGCGAAGCCTGCGAAACTTCCAGCAAGCCTCCAGTTGCTTCTGCGTCCCCCGAACTCAAAGCAACAAATATATATATATATATATGTCCAGTATGGCATAGAGTTCCACTCTAAAACCATGAGCGGGAAAACATGTCAAGCCTTCCAACACGGGCAAGAGAAAGAAAATATCCCAACTCCTTGCTTTCAGTGGTCCAACAGTTCCGCATAGTTTTCAGTGGCAGACAACTATGGACGTCTTCCGCAGCATTTGGGTCTGGTTCCTTTTCTGGACTTGGCTCCCTTTGTGGCTTCAAAGGGGAAACCAAGAGTTGAACACCACCTCTTTTGGGGCCAAGCTGAAAAAGGATGAGCCCACCCATTTTAGTGGGAAACCGCCGATCTCCTGTTGGTTTCTCCTGTTGGTTTCCCTTTGAACCAAAACGGGTACCGCAAACTGTTGACGGCCGAACTGCCGCGTCGGTTTCCCGGCACCCCTTGGGCTAGCCGAAAGGGACCGTCCAAATCCCATGACACGTGTCTCCAAATGAGAGACCCCCGAAAACGAGCGGTGACCATTTGGTTTCCCTTACAGCTGACACACACACACACAGACACATCTGCATCCAATCCTGATTTTGAGACACACCCTATCTGAACCCTCCCAAAGATGGATCTGCGGGGTTGGTCAAAAGGCCGGTGATACATGGGATGACCATTGGTTGGAATGCTACTAAAAGATTTGATGTGTCAACATGGCAAAAATTACCCATGGGGCATTTGGCGGGGTGGGGGGGGAGGGAATGCAATATTGATCAACCCCCAAAACAGGACAACTACTTCCCACCAAATGAGAAACAAAAACAATACCCGTGGTCATTTAGGGGGCCTTGTCCGACATATTGATGACCCCCCCAAAAAAAAACAAACACACAAAAACAAGACAAACAAAAAACGGACAACTGGACTTGGCTGAAATTAGGACCCCAGCAAACAAAAAATGTTGCCTGGTTTGTGGAAAACAAAAGGGAACTACAACAGAGCAAAACAAAACAAGGGGAACTAATTCTGGGGAAGTGGAAGCCAGCCTCTGAGACTATGTTTCCTGATCCGAGCGGCTTGGCCAACTTTCGGATGAGGTAGAGATCCAAGGACACCGTCTCCAACACGGCCGGGCGCTGTACCTTCACCGCCACCTCCTCGCCCGCTGGCTCCCGCAGCACCGCCTTGTAGACCTGACAAACCAAAACGCCTCTGGGTGCCTCAAGTCTGGGTGGCTCGTTGTTTTTGTTAGGAGTCGGACCCCCCCCCCCCCCGAAAAAAAAAAAAAAAAAAAGTCGTGGTTTCGCTTCAAAACCGCACAACCGGGGAACCAAGTCCGCAAAAAAGGAGCCTCACCCAATTTGGACCTGCAGGTGAAACATGGACAATCAAAGATAGCTCGATCCCCAAACCCCTCTTTTGCCTGACAGGTCTCTGCAAACTTGCGGAACGAGTTGCAGGTCTAAAAAAAGGGAAGCCTAACCACTCGAAATGTCCACTTCATCCTAACCGCGGTGCCTTCCCGGCATGAACGCGGGATCTGCAGTTTCCATGTCCCCAGGGTTACTCCTAGCCTCTTGGACATTGGGCTTGGCCATTGGGCGTGCCATCTTTCTTACATATTCAATCTGTATGTTTAGAACTATTGTACTTCCTTCTCACCTTCCCTGTCTATCACTTCGGCCAACGAATAATTGTTGAAAATGCCGGGGAAGATAAAGTGGTAGAAGAGGAAGGTAATGGCTGGCCAGAAGATAGGAAAGAGGCCAGCCGCTCATTCATGCCTCTTCACTATCTGTCGCAACAGGGGAAATGTGGCCATGGGTCAAAATCCCGTACCGCCAGTGAACATCCCAATCCCCACTAAAA